CGTGATCCACCGCCGCTTTACTGTGGAAAATTCCCCTCCTCTTCCTCGGGAGCCTGGGGTTCCCCCCCCCCCTCCGAAAATCTCCCCCCTCCCTGCTGGAACCCCCCCCCTTTCACCCGGCAAAACCCCCCCTCCCCTACCCCCCCCCTCCGGAAAACCGGGGGGGGTCACTACCGGTTCGAACCCCCCCCCCTCCCCCCCTCGAAAACAAGGGGTGGTCTCTACCGGTTCGAACCCCCCCCCCTCGAAAACCCGGGGTGGGTCATTACCGGCTCGAACCCCCCCCCCTAGAAAAGGTTCACTACCGGTTCGCCCCCCCCCCCGGCGAAAACCGGGGGGTGTCACTACCGGTTCGAACCCCTCCCCCCCCCCACCCAACCACCGTCCGCACCACATCCCCCACTGTTGTCCCCAGCACCACTGTCCTCACCACTGTCCCCACTGGTTCCACCACCGTCCTTACTGTCCCCACCAGTGCCCCCACCGCTGTCGCACTGTCCCCACTGTCCCCATCACTGTTCCCACCACGGTTCCACTCTCCCCACTTTCTCCACGGCCCCAACCACTGCACGACTGTCCCCATTGTCCCCACTGTCCCACTGTCTCCTCCGCTGTCCCACTGAGCTGTCCCACTTTTCCCACCACTGTCCCCACTGTCCCCACCTCTGTCCCCACTGTACCTCTGTCCCATTGTCCCACCGCCGTCCTCGCCACCGCCCTCACCACTGTCCCCACCACCACTGTACCTTCCACTGTCCCACTGTTTCCACCACATTCCCACTGTCCCCACCACCACCGTCCCCGCCACTGTCCCACTGTCCCAACTGTTCCCACCATTGTCCCCGCTGTCCCCACCAGTGCCCCCACCAGTGTGTCAATGTCCCCACTCTCCCCGGCCTGGCGAAGGGGGGGGGTTCGAACTGGTAGTGACCCCCCCCCCGGTTTTCGAAGGGTGGGGGGTTCGAACCGGTAGTGACCCTCCCCCCAGTTTTCGAGGGGGGGGGGTTCGAACGGGAAGTGACCCCCCTCCCTTTTCATGATGGACTGGGGGGGGGTTCGAACTGGTAGTGGCCCCCCCCAGTTTTCCAAAGGGGGGGGGTGGAACCGGTAGTGACCCCCCCTGGTTTTCCGCCAGCAGCGGTAGAACACGCTCTTTCACAAATCTATATATATAGATATATATATATATAAATATGTATGTATGTATGTATGTATGTATACATACATCCATACATACATACATATACACATACATACATACATACATATATACATACATACATGCATGCATACATGCATACATACATACATACATACGTACGTACATACATACATACATACATACATACATACATACATACATACTTACATACATACATACATACATACATACATACATACATGCACATACATGCACACACATGCATGCATGCATGCATACATACATGCATACATAATACATACATACATACATACATGCATACATACATACATACATGCATGCATGCATGCATGCATACATACATACATGCATACACACATACATGTATACATACATACATACATACATACATACATACATACATACATACATGCATATATACATACATACATACATACATACATACATACATACATACATACGTACGTACGTACGTACATACATACATACATACATACATACATACATACATGCACATACATACATACATACATATACATGCATGCATGCACATACATACATACATATATAGCATGCATATGCATACCTACCTACCTACCTACCTACCTACCTACATACATACATACATACATATATACATACATACATACATACATGCATACATACATACATGCATACATACATACATATAATACATTACATGCATGCATGCATGCATGCATGCATGCATGCATGCATGCATGCATGCATACATACATACATACATACATACATACATACATACATACATACATACTAGCGTGGGCCCGTGAATGAAATCCACGAAGTTGCGCGGATCGCGATTATATGGCGGTATTTCCTGTGAGGCTTGTCCTAGTGTTCCCCAACTGATAGCGCCCACTGCACTGATGCGGGGGCCGAAGTGCTTGAGCTTTTTGTGAAGGCAAGAAGTTCTAGAGTCCACGCCGGAGCAGCGCTCGAAGATTTGCGCCGGGATCGCGGCGGACGCAGGAGCGGGTCGGGGCAAACGCGGAGCCGTCTCGGGCCAGCAGCGTCGGAACGGCGTCGCAGCAGAGGAAGGATCGCAGCGGGGCGCCAGGTCTGGGATGTCCAAAGCGCGAAGCTCCAAACCAAGGTGTCGCTGCACCAGTTGCAAAGCATCGTCTCTCTAACTCGCCGCCGAACCCTCGGAGCGACAAGGCATCGTCGTCGTCGTGGACCCGAAGGCAAGCATCCAGGGCGACCAGAGCGTCAAAAACTGCTCTTTTGCAGGCGCGAGGGGGCCTCTTGGCCCTCGTCCGCCCACTTCTCTCGGAGACAGTTTTGAGGCCTGTTTGGGAGCCTCGAAGCAGCTTTTTTCAAGCTCGTGGGGGCCTCTCGGTGCCCTCTTGGGCCGTGTAAGGCTCCTCCTGGGCCGTCTAAGGGCCGTTTTGCGCCATCTTGGGCGCCTCTTAAGCCGCCTTGGGGACTTATTGGGCTGTATTTGCTTCTCGTGGGCCCCACTTAGGATCCTCTTGGGACCGTTTCGGGCACCTCTTGGGCCGTTCTGGGGACGTCTGGAGCCATCTTGGAGCCCTCTTGAGACGATCTTGGAAGCCCCTAGGGCTGTCTTGCACGCTCAGGAAGGCGAAATCGAGTCTGTTGAAAATGTCGTTTTTTGTTCAAAAGCGAATGCAACGATGTTTGCTTAATGCAGCCCTTTTCCGAGGTCCCCTTAGAGCTCCCTGGAAGCGTTTTGGGAGCTTCTCGGGCACCCGAGGATGATTTGTGGAGCCGCCGTTGGCCGTTTGAGGGGCCTCTTGGGGGGCTGAAGGCGATTTGGAAAGCCTCTGGGGCCGCTGCGGGGCCGCGTGGATGATTGTTGAAGCCGTCTTTGGCACTTCGGGGGCCCTCTTGGGGGAACTGTGGGGCCGTTGTGGCGCCTAGGGAACCGCCCCCCCCGCCAAACCCGCAAGGCACCTTTCGGTGTGTAAATGTGCATGTTATGTGTATACGCAGGTGTGCGTATGAACATGTATGTGTATATGTGTATGCGTTTGTGTTTGTATAGATGTGTGCATGTGCATGTATATACGCAAATAGACGTGCACGCGCATATGCATGTACGCACGCAGCTTCCGCATGCACATGTCTTTAAAGATGCATGTGTATGGGTAGATGCATGTGCATGTAGATTGGTGTGCTATGGCTGTGTGGGTATTATGGATATGGATACATGTGTGCTATGGATGCATGTGTATATGGTGCGGGTGTGTAGATATATACAAATATATATATATATATATATATATATATATGTATGACTGCGGTGGCGCTTCGCGCCATGCACCTTGGTCCTTGAAGATTGGTATGCAGGCGGAAATGGCAGGAAGGTCAAGCGGGCAATGTTGCGATAACTCCTTGCTGCCTTTTCTGGCATCGCCGTTATAAGAATGTTGTTCGTTATCCCTCCTCCATGCTTATGTTTCCTCATTCTCGCCATACCCTGGGTATTCTCCCCATCCTCCAAAGCTCTTTTTAAGGAGCCTCCTCCTTGGAGAGCCTCTGGGGGCCTCACCAAAGTTCTCAAGCTTTCTTAAAGCCTTCTGGAGGCCTCCTGGGCGTGTTCTGGGGGCCTCTGGGGCTTCCTGAGGCCAACCTGCCTCTAACCGCAGTCTCCTTGAACGCCACGGTCACGATTTGGAATGCTTCGGAGGGTGTATTGGGGCCATCTTGGGCCGCCATGGGGCTCTCTTAGGGCCATTTTGGACACCTGTTGTGCCGTTCTGGGGCTCTCTTGGACTGCCTGGAAGCCCTTTCGGATGGTTGCGGGGCGATTTTGGAGCCTCCCAGGCGACTTCGGACGCCCAGAAGACCGCTGTCTTGTAGCGTCGGGAAGCCGAAAAGAGGAGAACCCGAAATTCACCTACATTAAGTCGATGATTCTTCCCTCTTGGAGCCTTCTCGGAGGTGCTCTTGGAGGCCTCTTGGTACGTTTGGGAGCGATCTTTCGGGGTATGACGGCTTCTTGAAGCGCTCTTGTGCTGTCTTGAGCTTCTCTGGGACATCTCCGATGACCCCCCTGATCGCCCTAGGTGTGCTGCGAAGGCTTGGCAAAACGCCCTGCGAGGCCCGGGGGCCGCTTCGAGGCCCGTCCGAAGAGTCCCAAAGCCCCAGATCCCGGGAGTCCGGTTTTGGGGGGGGGGGACTGGTTTTCCCCCCGCCCGGGCTTGCACAAATACAGGAAGAGGAATGCGCATGTGTGTATGAATGCGTGTATACGTGCAGGCATATGCATGTGTAGATGCAGGTGTGGATGTAGGGTCACGTGTGAATGTAGATGTCTAGATGTGTGCATGTATACGTGCATGTGTATATGCGTGTGGGAATGTAAATGTATATGCCTACGCAGATGCATCGTATATGAACATGAAAGTGAGTGTGCCTGCGTGTGTGCATGCATATGCGTGCATAGGTTATAAGTGTATGTGCGCGCACATGTGCGTACATCGTTGTGTGTACACATACATGTGCGAATCGATTGTGATTGAGATGTGTAGATGTGAGCATGTCAGTGCATATGTTGATGTAGATGTAGTATATAGATGTAGATGTGTATGTAGATCTAGATGTAGATGCACATGTAGATGTTGCTGTGGATGTAGTTGTAGATGGAGATGCTCATTACGTAGATGTATCTATCTGTGTCTGTGTGCGTTCAGCTGGGAGGGGACTTATGTCAAGAGCGAACGCCTTCCGAGAATAGGCTGGAGGAGTGCCATGGGCCGCGGGCCAAGGGCACCCGGGGGTCCCAGCCATCGGGGCCACGGCAGGCCTCACGCCATCTGCAGAAAGGCCCCGAAGTCTGCGCCGGAGAGGATCTGCTTCGCCTGCCTGAGGGCATCCATCTCTTCCATGCGCGCCTCCTGGCGCAGATCAAAGTTCTTGAGGGTGAAGTCGCAGCTCCCGTGCAGCTGGGCGTTGTAGTCGGCCAGCTCGCCCAGCTCCGTGTTGGTGGAGTCCAGGTCCGCCTCGGCCTCCACGAGTCGCTCCTCGGCCTTCGCCTTCTCCAGAGACTTGTTTACGATCTCCTTGTTCTTAGCCTCGATGGAGGCGTTCGTCTCGATCACGAAGGCCTCGTAGGCCTTCTGCATGTCCTCCTCCGCGCGGACGGTCTCGTCCTCCATCGCCTTCGCGTCCGTGACGATCTGCGAGAGGAGCGCCATCACGCCGCTGCTGCCCGCAGACTTTTCGTACACGTCGAAGCCCTTGGGCGGCGCGAAGCCCTCGGGCGCTTGCTTCTGAACCAAGGCGGGCGGGTGCTTGCCGTAGAACTCCCCGAGGGCGGCCAGGGCCTTCTTCAGGATCTGCTGGGTGGCACGCTGGTCGGCGACCGTCACCTGCCGGCGGCGCGCCCACGGGAGGAGGCAGAGGGGGCGGGACCTCTCAGAAGGCTCAGGAGGCCCCCAGCCTTCTGAGAGGCTTTCTACTCTGAGGAGGCCGGCCCCTTCCGGCTTCCCTCCCTTGGGCACGCCGCCGAACCTGGAACTCCGCGTTCTCCTTTTCGCGGGTCTCCCCCGCGCGCTTCATCTGCACCTCCATCTCCGCGATCTCTGCCTTGAGGGTTTCGAGCGCCTCCGTCAGGTGCTTGATCGTGGTCTCCAGCTTGGCGATGAGGGCCTCAAGGTCCTGCTTTTCCATGGTCTTCTTCTCGGTCTGGAGCTGGTTCTCGTCGAGCTCGGCCACGCAGAAGTCTTTGTGCTTGACCTCTGCAGCCTGCTGCTCCTGGGCGAATGCCGGTTCCGTTTCATATACCGTGTTTGCTCTACGCCGCCATGCCCCCGAGCCCATGGCGCTGTTCAAAATTCCCTCAACGCGCTGTGCTGCTACAAGCGCGTTTGCAGCTCAAAGCTATCATCTCTGGGTCGCCCTCCTGTGAACCCCTCCGACCACATGCACATTGCACATCTTGCCAAAGTCGCGAGGTTGGCGGCATGCTTCGTCGAGCGACATGCGTGGAAAACCACATCCGGGCCATGGCGCGTCGCGGGCTTCGAAATGAAAGTGGCATGCCAGAATGTTTGCGTCATGTTCTGCGTGCGACATGGTCCACCTTTGCGCAAGGCACTGCCACCAACCGCGACCAACGGTCAGGCAAACAGCCAGGCAGAAAGCCCCTCGCACCAACAACCTACGCAGAAGACCTCTTGCGCGGCTTCCACGCGAGTCAGCTACGTGGTTCAGGGCCCGCTGCTGGCAGGTGGGCTGCCAGCTGCTAGGCATGCTAGGCACACTGCACAAACTAAGGGCACTTCCTTTCGAGAATGGCCCCCAGCGGTGCGCGGCACGCGGCTCTCTTCGCGTCCTCGCGAGGCGACCTTGGAGAAGGGCAGCTCTCCAGCCAGAGCCGCGACGCGCGAAGCGCGACTGTCTTCGCGCCTGGGGTGGGCCCAGACATCTCACCGCAAGAACGACCCCAGGCAGCAACAGAGAGGCAGCAACGGCACGGCACGGCACGGCACGGCACCACGGCACCGGACGCCTCCTGGCACCACGGCACGGCACAGCGGCACGGCCCCCACGGCTCCAGGGCAGGGTACGGCGCGACACGGCGCCATCACGGAACCATGGTGCCACTGCACGGCACCGGCGGGCCACTGGATCACGTGTTGTGGGGGGCCCCAAGGGTCACAAGGGCCACAAGAGGCTCGATGGCCACAGGGCCGAGGGGATCACAAGAGTCGCATGGGACCCAAGGGCCCAACGGGCAGCACAGTGTTACAGCAGGGCGCAAGAGTCGACAAGGGTCCAAAGGAGCACTGTGGCTGCAGGATCACAAGGGACCACAACAGACGCAAGGAGCACGAGGGTTCCGAGGGCTCCTAGGGTCACAAGGGCCACAAATGTCACAAGCGTCCAAAGGTCCATCATAGGTCACACAGAGTCACAGGGTCGCAAGGGGCACACGGGCCAAGGACCACAAGAGCCCACAAGAGGCGCAAGGTTCAAAGGGCCCCGAAGGCCTCAGGATTCAGGTAAATCGATCGGCAACCCTGTTGGAAGCCATCAGGCTTCGCGGATGAGGTTCATCAACTGAGCAGCTGAGTCTTCATCTGAGCAATGAGGCAGTTCGCAACTTTACAAAGATCCGTCGTTCGCGGCTGCTTCATGCTCTTCGGCGTTGATTACTGCTGATTGGTGCTAATGGTGTTTCCTGCAGAGTCCTGCTCTCGTTCCCACGCTCCTTCTCCTCGTCCACCTACCCCTCATCCTCCTCTTCGCTCCACCTCCTCACTGCTCCTCCATGCTCCTCGCCCCTCTTCCTCATCCGCGCTCCTCTTCCGCACCTCTTCCGCACCTTTCTTCCTTCTCCTCCTCCTCACTCCTCCCCCTCCTCCTCCTCCTCCTCCTCCGTCTCCTCCTTCTCCTTCTCCTTCTCCTCCACCTCCTCCTCCATCTCCTCCTCCATTCCTTTTCCTTATGAATAAGTTATCCATGTCGCACCCTGAGGCAAGTTTTTAGGGTGAGCTGGGCGTTTCGCCTGAGACTTCCTCACCACTTATGACTCTGAAGCTGAAACATTGGCAACAATTTCACCGATGGAGGGCGGGCCGTTTTCCAATATGTGGATCTCGCCTTAGCGCCGCGAACATTCGCTGAAAAACAGCAAGAGTGGCTCTCGCCTTATCTCCACGCACATTCGTTTCAAAAACTGCAAATGGTTTACGGATGGAGGGCGAGTCGCTTTCAAAATGTGGCTCTAGCCTAAGCGCCGCGCACATTCGTTTTAAGAGTTGCAAATGGTTTACGAAGTGAGGGCGGGCCGTTTTCAAAATGTGGTTTTCGCCTAAGCGCCGCGCACATTCGTTTTAGAAGTTGCAGCTGCTTTACGGATTGAGGGCGGGCCGTTTTCAGAATGTGGCTCTCGCCTAAGCGCCGCGCACTTTCGCTTAAACATACAAGAGTTTCACTGGCTCCCATGTCAACGTACTAGACATGTTGGTTTGGAAAGGTTCAGAATTATGCGGGCGCAACAGTTACGTTGATTCGCGGTGTTGAAGTCCCAGGAATGGCGGTCTGGCACATTTCACGATCGTCCGGACGCAATAGTCAGGTTGATCCGTGGCGCTGGAATCCCGAACAATGCGTTGGCATGCTTTAGGGGCTTTCAACGATTGTCTTCCAACGGAGAAGTTCCGTCAATGGAAATGAACCGCTGTAGGGGCTTATGAAGAGGAAGCTCGGAGGGAGGGTTTACTCCAGCATCGTTGATGACTCTTGTGGTTACACTGGTACTCCTCCTCCTCTTCCTCCTCCTCCTCCTCCTCGCTCCTCCTCGCTCCTCCTTGCTCCCCCTCCTCCTCCTCCTCTTCCACCTCGTCCTCCTCTTCCTCCTCTTCCTCCTCCTGGCTCCTCCTGGTTCCTCCTCGCTCCTCCTCGCGCCTCCTCGCTCCTCTTCGCTCCTCCTCGCTCCTCCTCGCTCCTCCTTGCTCCTCCTCCTCCCTCCTCCCCCTCCATCCTCCTCCTCCTCCTCCTCCTCCTCCTCCTCCTCTCCTCCTCCTCCCTCCTCCTCCTCCTCCTCCTCCTCCCTCCTCCTCCCTCCTCCTCCTCCTCCTCTCCTCATCCTCCTCCTCCTCCTCCTCCCTCCTCCTCCTCCTCCTCGCTCCTCCTCTCCTCTCCCTCCTCCTCCTCCTCCTCCTCCCCTCCTCCTCCTCCTCCTCTCCTCTCCTCCTCCTCATCCTCCTCCTCCTCCTCCTCGTCCTCCTCCTCCTCCTCCTCCTCCTCCTCGCTCCTCCTCCTCGCTCCTCCTCCTCGCTCCTCCTCCTCCTCCTCCTCCTCCTCCTCCTCCTCCTCCTCCTCCTCCTCCTCCTCCTCCTCCTCCTCCTCCTCCTCCTCCTCCTCCTCCTCCTCCTCCTCCTCCTCCTCCTCCTCCTCCTCCTCCTCCGCAGCACCACTTTGGGACACTTGGGTTGCGCGGGGCTGCCGTCGTATCGACCCGTCTGGTTTGGAAAAACAGTGGGTCCGTGTTCCCGAGGTCACAGTCCATGCAAGCGAAACTAGGTCCGCTCCGAGAGCAACCATCCTCCTGTTTAGAGGACGATGGACGACGTTCGATGGGGCGGGAAATCCCGACAAAAGCCATTCCCCCACTGCATGCGCCAGTCGGGTCGGGATCGCGCGGCAGCCTCTGCGGAAAGGCGAGATGCGGCAGGAAAGGCCGCGCGAGGGAGAGTGGCACCAGGAACGATGCGGCGCGCGGCGGGCAGAGGTCTGCACACGTCCACCGCCCCTGGCCAGGCCCAGCCCGGGCCCAGGATGAGCTCGGGCATGTCCTCCTGCAGGCGGATCTGAGGGGAACAGCATTACATAAACCAAAAATGATCAAACTGATTCAAAACTAGTCATGCAAGCGTCCTCAGACGATTATTCTTTACTATGTTCGAATCTTCCTCCTGCAGAAGGGACACGCCCGACTCAAGCCCAGGACCGGTGTATACGCCCTCCTGGCCTGGGCCAGGGAGGCAGGCATGCCGCTCCTGGGACCCAGGATGGGCCCGGCCAGGGGGGCGGTGGACACGTGCAGACCCCGCCGCCCGAGAGGAGGCCAGCCGCCTGGAGCGCTGCCAGCATGTCGTCGATGGCCTTCTTCACGCGCTCGAACGCGTCCAGCTTCACCGTCAGGGCCTGGAGGGACAGAACACGAGGACCATGACCAAGACTGGACGCGGAAGCTTCGGTGTCGATCTTGGCCATCGCTCATCTTGGTCACCGTCGAGCCGTGGGTCCTCCTGGCGAATCGGCGACGGCTGGCATGGACCACGACCATGTCCGGCGTCGACAGAAGCCCGCGGCTTCTCTCGGTCTCGGTCATCATGTTTCTCCCCTCGGGGACCAGCTTGGAGAGCCCCTGGCTGTGCAGTCGCTTCGCGGCGTCGGCGATGACCTTGGAGGCGGCGTCGCGCCTGGCGGAGCCAGCAGAGCTCCGCTGCTGCAGCAGGGAGGCGCCCTTGTTGAAGGTGCGGGTGTAGAGGTCGTGGGCGTCGTCGGTGCTGAGGATGGCGAGGGCCTTCGCTTCTCTCGGCGGCGCGCCCAGGGGGAAGGCAGAGGGGGCGAGGCTTCTCAGAAGGCTCAGGAGGCCAGAGGTCCTCCCTGGAGCTCCCCGAGCCTTCTCCGAAGCCACGGTGGGCTTCTCAGAAGCCGCGCCGCCATCTGAGAATGCCTGCCCCCCCTCACTTCCTCCCTCCGCGGCACCCCGAAGTCTGGACCCCCCTCCCCGGGACTGGCGTTTCGTCCTGAACCGCTTTTGACGGCCCCAGGGCCCGACAAGGGCCCCCAGAGGCGGACAAATCGCACAAAAACGGCCGCCGTGACTGTCTTACTGCGAGAGGAGGTGCAGGGGGCAAGTGAAGACGCTCGAAGGGGAGAAAAACAGCGATGGCGCCACAGGAGAAAGGCCCGCTGCTCTTCGAGAAGGCCGTCCCGTACCCGACGGGCCAGATCAGGACACCACCGCTCCACCATACAGGACGAGGATCCTGCCATCTTTGCGTGGCTCCTGCCCAGAGGAGGAGGTCAGCGGCGACAAACTGAAATCATGGTGAGGCTTGAACTCAATGACAACCTCCGACTCCTCAGCGAAGCGGGGGAGGAGGGGG